AGTACAGAGCCTTGGGGCACACCACAGCATAAGGATGCAGTTGAGGAAGAATAAGTACCCAAGGTAACGGAGAAAGACCTGTTCAAAAGGTATGATTTGAACCAGTTAAGGGCTTCACACCGAATGCCCACAGTGCGTTCTAACCTCGTTAATAAGATATTATGGTCAACCATATCAAAAGCTGAGGACAAATCCAATAAGACTAATACAACAGAATGCCCTGAATCAGTAATTAAGAGAAGATCATTAAGGACTCTCAGCAAAGCTGTTTCGGTGCTGTGGCGTGGTTTAAAACCAGACTGAAATTTATCACAGATGTCATGCGCATCCAGGTAAGCCTGGAGTTGCGAGAGAACTATGTTCTCTAGGATTTTGGAGAGGAATGGAAGTTTGGATATCGGCCTATAATTAACAAAATCACAATGGTCAAGACACCTTTTTTTGAGAGCAGGTTGCACTATAGCATGTTTAAAAACAGAGGGAACATAGCCAGAAGACAATGATGAGTTCATTAAAAATAGAATACTGGGCCCAATTACATCAAAGCCGTCCTTCACAATGCGAGACGGAAGAGGTTCATATGCAGAACTAGTAATTTTCAGTTGCTTGACAATTTGCTTAAGTGTACAGAGTGACACTGGCTCAAACTGATGAAAAGTAGAAGCACATTCTCCAGTGAAAGCAAGGCTCACCACTGGGGGGAGTGAGGATTTGAGAGATAGAATTTTATCAGTAAAGTATTTTAGAAATTGTTCACATTCCAGACATTCTGGAAAGATTGAGAAAAAACCAAGCCAAGAAAGTCTTGAAAAGGACTTGTACTAGTTGGCTAGAGGCAGAAATCGAGCTGGAAAGGATGTGCAGTAGATTAAGTGAATAAGGTTAGAGATGCAAATATACTAGTGAGTGAAGACATGGTTTTTAGAACATACATGAGGGTAGCAAGACTGTGAGGAAAGGTGCTATTGGAGTAACAGATGGAGGTAGGATTACATCAGGGATCATCCCTGAGCACCTTGTTTGCAGTGGTGATGGACAGGTTGACCGATGAGATCAGGCAGGAGTTTCTGTGGACTGTGATGTTCACAGATGAGACTATGATCTGTAGTGAGAGTAGGGAGCAGGTGCAAGAAAGCCTGGAGAAGTACAGGGTGGGCCATTTATATGGATACACCGTAATAACATGGGAATGTTTGGTGATATTAAAGTCCTGTTTGTGGCACATTAGTATATGTGAGGGGGCAAACTCCTCAAGATGGGTGGTGACCATGGTGGCCATTTAGAAGTCGGCCATCTTGGATACAACTTTTGTTTTTTCAATAGGAAGAGGGCCATGTGACACATCAAACTTATTGGTAATGTCACAAGAAAAACAATGGTGTGCTTGGTTTCAACGTAACTTTATTCTTTCATGAGTTATTTACAAGTTTCTCTTTGTTCACAGCCATTGACATGTCGAAGAGGTTAACACGTGAGGAGCGGATCAAAATTGTGTTGATATCTGGTGAATGCAATAACCGGGTCATTGCAGCAGATTTCAATGCAAGACACCCGACGAGACCACCACAGTTAGCAAACTGCTTGCTAAGTTTCGTGAAACTGGTTCAGTGTTGGATTTGCCAAAATGTGGACGCAAGAAAACTGTCACTAATGAAGAAACATCAGTGGCTGTCCTAGCTTCATTCAGCAAGAACCCACAGCGTAGCACTCGCTGCACGTCACTGGAGAGTGGTTTGGTGTGGTATATAGGGTACAACAATAGTGGGTCCATTCTTCATCAATGGAAACCTCAAGGCCACTGGATATTTGAAATTGCTACATGATGATGTGTTTCCCTCTTTATGCACTGAAGCTGGCACGTTCCCTGAGTTTTTCCAGCAAGATGGTGCACCACCACATTATGGGTGCCAGGTCCGAGCATTCCTAGATGAACAGTTTCCTGGAAAGTGGATTGTTCGTCGTGGGCCAGTTGGATGGCCCCCAAGGTCTCCTGATCTGACCCCCTTAGACTTTTATCTTTGGGGTCATCTGAAGGCGATTGTCTATGGTGTGAAGATACGAGATGTGCAGCACCTGAAACTACGGATACTGGATGCCTGTGCTGGCATTTCTCCTGCGGTGTTGCTATCAGTGGGAGAAGAGGGTTGCATTGACAATCCAACACAATGGGCAGCACATTGAACACATTTTATAAGTGGTCAGAAACTTGTAAATAACTCATGAAAGAATAAAGTTACGTTGAAACCTGGTAGGCTGGTAGAAAGGTAAAGACGCAAGGAATCGAGATAGTGAAGTTGGATGAGTTTAAATACCTGGGATCGGCTATTCAAAGCAATGGACAGTGCACACGAGAGATAAAGAAGACAGTGTAGGCACCATGAAGCCGGTGGAGATGAGTGTCAGGGGTGAATTGTGATAGCAGCAAGAATGAAAGGGAATGTTTACAAGAGGGGTGTGAGACCTGCTATGATGTTTGGTTTGGAGACAGTGACCCTGACAAGAAGACAGGTGGTGAGGCTGAAGATGCTTAGACTTTAGTTGAGAGTGACTAGAACGGACAAGATTAGAAACAAGTCCATCAGAGGGACAGCTCAGGTTGAGCAGTTTGGAGACAAAGTTAGAGAGGCAAGGCTGAGATGATTTGGACATGTGCAGAGGAGGGATACTGGAGATATTGAGCAAAGGTTAGACAGAAGGAACAGAAGAAGACCATAGAGTGGAGGAGAACATACTCATGATTGGCATGTCAGAGAGTGCTAGGGATAGGATGGAGGTAGACAACCTACCATCATAACCCCAATAAGCTCAACAATTAACCCTTGTGTGGTGTTCATATTTTTGTTACTCAGCCAGTGTTCATGGGTCTGGTGGACCCGCTAGAGTTTTGGCTTTCCAAATTAACACTATCAAACAATTTTATGTTAAATTACTCAACAGATGTTTACTTCATCCCAATTACAAGCCATATGAACAGTAAACATGGTTAATTTTTTCCCTTTACCTTTGTTAGATCACATTTATGAATTAATGTGCTTCTCGTTTTTTTTATTTTTTTTATTTTTTATAAAATGTTATAAAAACATAAATCAGTTATAATCAAGTGGAGTGAGTGGAAAGACAACACATTTACACGTGAAGCAATATGTTTCACAACTAAATGGGATCAGCTGCTCATCAATGGCGACATTAGGCCCAGGGATGTAAAACAGGGGTAGGTGGTGCACACACTTATCCCACACTGTCCTGATGGCAGCTAGCTTGTCTCTCTGCCGTCGAGCTGGTCTGTCGTCTCGGCTATCAAAACGGATAATCCTGGAAATTTTGTGGAAGTTTTCCAGAGACATTGATGCACGGAAAGGTTCTTGCCGGTTTCTGCATCCCACAGGATTCTGTGGATTCCCCTTTGGACCTGAAAACTCCTGCAAGGATAAGAACCCCAAAGTAGGCCTGCAGATCAATTTGGTCCATCTCCTTCCACCTCTCTCCAAAAACACACCTTCCTTCTAGATTACTGCAATCCAGAATAATTTTCTGGATGTAATCTGGGATGAAAAGCTCAAATGAAGACTTGATGTCCTGCACATGAGTAACTGTCAGCCGTGTTGGCCCTGGCTTATCACAGTAACAGCTCTGCAGGGTGGCTCATTTCTTGGGCAAGAAGACCATTCAATTTCACCAGTTATTGACATCCATATTTCTTCACTTGCTGTCTGGTGGGCTTGTTCTGGTCCTGGAGCTGGCTGCAGATGGGGTGCTCGTCTTCGTTTTGTTACTAAATGGTGCTCAACCTCATCCTCTTCTTCAAAGTCACTGTCAGACTCTAAATTTTCAGAAATGTGAAATATTCTGAAACCTCTTTGTCAACATCATCATCCGAAGCCACTCTCTCTTCCAAAATCAATTGGATGGCCCTCGCAGCAGATAATCTTTTGCCATCTTGATCAGTTGTGATAAAGAACCACACTGGCAAAGTCTTATTTATAGTATTATGCCCCTAATTTGCAGGTGGGACAGGGGATGAGAAAATTTGGATCCCTCAAGAAAGAGGGTAAAATGTGTGGAAATGTAAGAGCAGACGGTGTTGATAGTTGAATTTTCAACAATGTTGCAACTTTGTGCGGAGCAGGAGGGGAAGAAAACACCATCAGCAGCACCAGAAAGGAGGAAGACAGAGTGTGGGAACACAGGACCTGCACTTTCGACACTTTTATTAGGCCTGGGTCCAGTGGACCCGAACACCTTGTATGTAATGTAAATGCGTGGGGGGAGGTACAGTATGAGGTCATTGAAAATTAGTTCGGATTCATGTTCTTCACAGAAAATAAGCCAAAGCCAATGAATTTCAGGTTGAAAAAATAATTAATTGTTTAATTTTTCTTTTGAGAAAAACTGAAAACGGGTCTCACAGACCCGAACACCATACAAGGGTTAAAAGAAGGTAAAGACTTCTATGCACTGGTCAAACCCATGGCTACAACTGTACTGGAATTTGGACATGGAAAGGGTGGCCACATGTTACCACTTACTGCTGTAGTATTAGTCATGGTGGTTCATCGATAGCCAGGTTGAGTTCCACCCTCAGCCATGAAAACAGTGACATTTACATTAGAAATTCACAACAACAACAAGAGACTAACAAAGCACAGCTGCTATAACATTGTGATTTACATTACATAACAGACTGACATTAGTCCCACGCTTGTTTGCACTAGTGATCCCTCCCCTTGCATTGCTATGATCTTCATAAGGCAAGATTAACCATAAAAACTCTAAGTACCAAAACATCAAAATTAAGCGCTGTACTTAAGCCAGTCCACTTAAGCCAATGCATTATTTGCAGTGAACTTTTCAACTATGGGGACAGTGTTGCTGTGTAAAAATAATGTATGTATTGTTTTCTTTATTTTAATCAGTGTCTTAGTTTTTGTGTCTTTACCACAACCCCAAAAAACTAAAAAACTACATCAAACCACCAGGACGAAATTGAGCACAGACCAAGATATTTTTGAATATTTATTCAAAATCAAGACAGTACAAAGACAGTACAAATATGTTACTTTGAAATACCAGGCAAGTGTTATTTATATGTAACATATATAGTTTTTCTAAACTTATTTACAATAGTAAGCTAAGATAGAATCAAGAACATCATATTTCTTGCAGTGATGACACTGTATTTGCCTACATTTGAAGGCATTTAAAAGTAACCTGGAAAGTAGCAGTGCAAAGACCCTACATTTTTGACACTACATTTAAATACCCATATGAATTAAGTGTCCAAGCAGCTTATATAAATAGTAATCTGAGCTTAAAAATTTCAAGCATATGACTGATTTTTATCAACAACATCCTTCAAGAGGAGTTAGACGGTCTAATTTTGACTTTGCTGTATTTACTGCATCATGATACAGCTGCGGTTTTGCCATGTTTACAGTGCTGTACAATTAAAATAGATCCACATCCACTTATATAAAAGCATTTTCTACAGTTACTCACTCAACAAAATAAAAGCAAGATGCTCTTACTGTGAAAACCTACAGTGGCACATTTTCATCATACAAAAGAGCAACTTCTCAGCTTTCAATTTCTTGTAATGCTTCTTAATGTTAAAATGATAATCCTCCTCAAGATGGCAGTGTGGTGAATTATCTAGTACTGTACTGCTGACTCAAGCTGTCTCCTGTTTTTATCTAAAGCAGGTCAACTGAGAATACACTGCAGCCCACTTCTATCTTGTCTTAAGACATAATTATGTAAACCACTCTCTTCTTTTGTTTGCTTGTAAATAACATAAAGGTAGGCTCACGTAACCTCATCATCACACAGAACTCGGATGAAGTGAGTTAAGAGCCATCAAAGAAGATATTTTTGCATTAAAGTTAATAATAACCTTGGTTGTTCTCGTGTATTTTCTGCTCAAGCTTCATTTTAAGCTCCGACACTAAAGCAGAGCTGATGTTTCCCTCCTTACGGCGGCTGGACTTAGCTTTCTTGGAGCCTTTGGATGCCAGTGCGCCAGATATTGTTGGGACTGCACGCAGCCTTTCATTGGGCCGCACGTTAGAGGGAGGTGGAGGCGGAAGACAGGGAGCAATGGGAGGTGGAGGCTTCAGCCGGGGGCTACCTGTCTCCTGCTGGAGGCTGCTCTCCGGGTTGGTTATGAGGAACTTTTCTCCAGGGTTGGTGAATTTGATAACAGGTATCTTGAAGGTCCAAGGCTGCTGGTCCCTGGGTCGCCTCTTAATGATGCGGCGTGCTGGCATGATCCTGTTGGACTTTGAGTTGCGCATGTACATAGCCGTAGAGATCAAGACAGTCCCTCCTACCAAAACACTAATGATAAAAGTGACCATGCCTAGAGCTTTTAAAGGATTGTCCCTACTTTTCATTAAAAAGGCTGCCATAGGCCCCTTGAGAGGAGTCTGTAAAAGAGCAAAAATAAAACAGTTTGAACCTGAATTCCAAGTATTTGTCAAAAGCATGCAAACATGAAATTGGATGCCAAAGCACTGACAGAGGAGGCCCAAACAACATGTCTATGAACACTCTAGCACTTTCACACTCGCACCCAGACATCCATCTTCTGCCCTACAATACAGGAAAGCTAGCAACTACATATGTCTCTAATGTTTAGGAATGCGTCTGGCAGTGCGATGCATTAGGATTTCTCTTTGACTGACGAGGGCTAAACAATAATAATGACCAGCTCATGGGACCAAAAAAGTTTGTGGAAGTAAAAATAGTAAATAATAAAAAAGACTTTTCTTTCAATGTACACCGGTACTCTTTTACAGACCTAACCCAGCCAGTAAACATTATTTTAATGTTCATGAATGAAAATGAAGGAGAGGCATTGGTTATTTCTCACTTGACTCTGCGGACCACTTTAATGTAGTTACTCTCAGGGTTGATTCTGGACTTTTTCACTGCGTTACAGTACAGGATGGTGGATATGCAGATTGTTAGTAAAACAAGGGACGTGAGAATGCTCAAAAAAATTCCAAAAACAGTCAGCGGACGCTTGCTGAGGCCCATGAAGTATGAAACAACTCGACCTTTTATCTGAAAAGCACGATACACAACACACAAACAGAACCAAAAACATCATGGAGAGTGAAATAATGGATTCAGGATGAAAACACAAAAAGTATTAGAAAAATATGGATCAATGCAAATGAGCAAAAACTTCAAAGGATAATGCTAATGTTTATATCAATATTTCAAAGATCAAAATGAGTGTGAATTTTTCCATCAACAAGTAAAATGTGTAGCCATGACCATATATACTCACTGGCCACATCATTAGTCACACCTTGCCAGCACTAGGTTGGCTTTGGCTCTTTTGCCTTCATAATTGTTGTAATAATCCAAAGCATACATTCAAAAAGGTGCTGGAAACATTCCTCAGAGCTAAGTATTGATTTGATAGCGTCACACAGTTACTGCTGATTTGTTGGTGTCAAATCCAAGATGCAAATCTTCTGCTCCACTATATCCCAAAGGTTCTCTATTGAATGACTGTGGAGGTCATGACCAAGAAACCAGTTTGAGATGATTTGAGGTTTGTGACATGGCACATTATCCTGCTGGAAACAGCCATCAGAAGATGGGTACATATTGGCCATAAAGGGATGGACATGCGCAGTAACATTACTCGGATAGGCTGTGGTGTTTAAACAATGCTCACTTGGTACTGAGGGACCCAAAGTATGCCAAAAAATTTCCCCACATGATTACACCACCATCACCACCACCAGCCTGAACTGCTGACAAGGCAGGATGGATTGATGCATTCATGTTGCCCAAGCCAAATTCTGACCCACCATCTGGATGCTGCAGCAACAATTGTGACTCATCAGTTTAGGCAACATTTTTGAGTCTCCTCTTGTCTTATTTGGTGAGCCCAAATGATTGGCTGATTAAATATTTGTGTTAACCAGTAAATGAAAAAGTGTAACTAATGAAGTGGCCTTTGACTGTTCAGTGGATCAATCCCAGAATGGTTAAAACTGTTTTTTTGTCCAAATAATTTTTTATGATAAAACTTTGTTCTGAAAGGGAAAGCTACAAATTTAGAGTTAATTGGTTTTAAAACTCTGTAATAATTCATATTTAAAGCCACAAATTAGATTGCATTCAGAACCTGATAGTCCAGTTAGTATTAATGGATTTTTTTTCACTTCTTAGTAGGAAACTTTATTGTTAGTTCTGATCTTTAAATAAACTATAAGAAATTACCAGTGTTATCCTTTAAAGTAGATGAACTTAGTGAAATGTGACTAGCTGAAACAAGGACGCTGATTTAGCAGAAGCATATAGTAGCATGGCAACAGTCCCTATTGACTCATGTTAAAATGCACGTCTACAGCTCAGCTCTGGGACAGGAAGCACTGCAAGCATGCTCCGAGTCGGAACAAGTCTTACCGCCTCTGTGATATCGATGTTGACCACAGCTGTTGTGCTGAAGGACGGAGAGCCTCGGTCCCTGGCTTCGACCACCACAGACCACTTGCAGTCCTTCTGCTTGGTGATGTTCTGTACAATCTCCATAGACTTAATATAAGGCTTCAGCTTGATCTCGCCAGTGTCAGCATTGATGTCAAATGCATTGTCAGGATCTGCGGTCATGATGGAGTATTCAATGACGTTGTTTGGAGACTCCGCATCTTCATCCACGGCCTGTAAAAAGCATCATGCATCAATAGCGTTTAGTTAAAATGTAAACGAATAAATCTTTATTCTTAGGCTGTGATGTTTCTGTAAAATGCATTAGATTTGACATATTGCATGCAATATGTCGTTCTTTAACCTAGCTTTGGCACATATATGCATACATTTTAAGATGAGTCAATTTATCATCCGTATACTTGGCTATGGAATTGTTGTTTCCCTATTAATAATTTTAATTAGTCACACTGATTACTTTATAAGAAGTGTTTTAAACCAGGTATTAATGCAGAATATCTACTGCAGGCTTCAGATTTTCCTTAGATTTGAAATCAAATTTTATTTAATTTAGTTACACGTTTCTAGTTAATCCACACAACTGAATACATTTTAAACAGCTGTTTTTTGTAGTCTTTATCAGAAAGGCGCAAATAGTGTTTTTTGTATTTATAGCCATGGAATATTAACAAATTTAGAAAGCTCTACACACCAAAATCTTAGTCTTTTGATGCCAAATTATGCAATCATAACTTTTCTAGAACCAAAGCTCAATACATTGAATGTTTACTGTTATCTAAGCTCCCAAAACATTCAGTTTACAACAAAAAAGCTGAAACTTGGTGAAAGTAGAATCACAGATTAAGCTAAAAGAGACGAGATAGATCAATTTCAAAGCAAAATGTACCTCTATTTTGACAGGCGTGCCAATAATCATCGTCTTCTCCACGAGCACTTCATCAAATTCTGGCGCGTGGTCGTTCATGTCAGTGACTGTGACAAAGACTTCAGCCAAGCTGTACTTCCCCTCTGAATCTTCAGCCTTGACATAAAAGTTGTACTTTGACCTGACCTCTGCATCCAGGCTGGTCCAGGGCTGTGTGGTGATGAGGCCTGATGAAGCGTTAATGGAAAACCTGCAGTTCAGATCACACAGTGCATGAGTCACAACCACAGATGTCCATTTAGCTTCATCTCAACTAACCAGGCGTTTCTAATACAGGCATCGTAATTCACAGCTCAAGTGACAGATTTTCATTGCTCCCTGTGAATCTCTACATGACTCACACTTTGCTATAAAAAACAACTTTACAGCCATCGTTGGACAGACGTGTTGTACTGTAAGGCTTCAGATGTTAATCCAGTTGATTTAAAAAACGTGTAGGAAAAACAAACTTGTACATTTTTGCTGCTTATGCTTATTTGTTTGGGTGAAAAATCCTGAACCCTGATTTGCAGGGAGAATATGTTTAATGAGTTGCTTCCTTAAAGACAGATCTCCAGCATATGAAATGCATATGTACATCTGTAGAGAAATATTGATTTACACAATAATTGCCAAGTTTTTTTTTTCAATTTTGTTCTTATTGTTATACACTGTTTGTGTTTTCTGAGGATCTGGAACCACAAAGCTTCTAACTATTTTGTCATTTCAAACATTGTGAATGTATATTTGAGATTTTCAGACTTTCCAGAGGTTGTTTTAAAGTGATCACTAATCAGGAGAGCTTGACTATACCCTGTAGGGCTTAATTTTTTTTTACCACCTGTTATATTTCTCTAACCTAAAAACACATTCATAACAATTTCAGGGATACAATAAGGAATAAATACTTGCTCGTACACACAGCAGGTTTACTCATTTTAAAGCTTGCCAGGAGCTTTCTGAGTGCCTTCTAGTTCAACATTGGGCATGCAGCCATTTTATTCAGCAGACTTTTCTGTCTTGTTTTTCGCTGTGAAATTTCACAAGTTTTCTTGGAACTGATAACTTTCACACAATTAACTCAGGTTGCAGCCTGCAGACAGGCATAAATTCTCACTTTCCCTTCGCTGTATGTTGCCTTGCTTCTCAAAGCTGCTGTTTCTGTGGCTCCAGCTGTCACATTGCATATTAATTGGCTCTGCCTATGTGAGATGGGCCAGGCTCTCTATTTTTAACCTACCAATCCAATTAGGAGATTAGCCAGCATCTTACAGCCATTTTAGAGCGAGCTGTTTGTGCAGCAGAGGGGCCGATCAAACCAGTTTCCCGCTTACCTCTTTCATCAAAGACACAAAGATGACTCAAGACTAGTGTCCTGCTGGCACTAAACACCCTGAGCCTCTGAGCATTTTTGACTCATACTTTCAAAATAACTTTAGGCTGTGAAATGCATTTTGTGGAAATGCCAGAATTAAAGATCTGATCAGAATGAACCTAAATTGGCAGCAATGAAAGGTTTATACTCACAAATCAGATCCTGATCCATAAATCGTATATTTGACTTCACCCCAAGACCCGGAATCTGGATCGTTTGCCTACAGAGAAAAAAAGGAAGGCGATTATACACCTACATACTCCTACATACCACACATACATACTCATGCTTACACAACAAAATATTAAAAAATTACACTTTAAAATTTTTTAATTACTTATTTGGAAAATTACATCATAATAGTGTATAGATATGTAACTTAAATAAATATGATTACTTTAAGGTGACTGAAAATAATTTATTGTGTCATTTATTTTTACTAAAACCCCCTGTGGACAACTAGATAGAGTCTTAAGCTCATATACAGTGTGTTGCGAGGGGATGTTCAGCAAGCATCGGTCAACATGATTAACCTTGAAGCAAAATTAAGCTTTTTACTTCTCACTGCTTAACTTGGACACATTGCCTGGTTGCAGGGTTTCTACAGTATGATGACAAGCAAGGGACAAATGTGCCAATATATTTTTTAATAATCTCCCTCGATGAGGAGTAACATAGGACATATGCCAGATTGTGACATGGAGATAACAAATTTCATAACCAGGAGTAGCAAACTGAAGCAAGAGAGCGCTAAGCCTGTTTTTGTCTGGCACCAATCTGCTTTTATCTAATGAACTGTGCTGAGCAATATGCATTTAATAGAGGAAAGATGGATTATATAATCACTTTGATCAGGTTAAAGCTGAGTTTAACTGTGATTGACTCACTATTACAGATGAAACACTGGAGCCTCCAGGAGAGTTCTCAGGGACCCTGGCGATGTAATACTCAGATGTGAATTTAGGGATGTTGTCATTTGTGTCCAGCAGGTTGATCACTATGTCCGCTGTTGCGCTGAACCGTTCGGGAGTGTCAATCTCCACTGCCAGGAGCTGCAGGAAGACACACTCAGAGTGATTAAATTAGTGCTGAAAGCTTTAGTCAACTCATAATTTTTTCAGGCAATTTTTGTTTTTTGTTTTGTGCATTTTATGTTCAATATAGGTATTTGTTGTGCCTGAAAATGAACAAATAAATGAATGAATAATCAATGAGTTCATGGATATACAGATATCTAAAGCCACACTGGCTACTCTGTGAAACTGTAAACCAAGCAAAGAAAATATTTTCAGATTTGATTTATGATTTTTAAAATTAATGTCACTGCAGTCAGTGAAATAAATCAGAGACTTGCTAGGGCGCTCATGTTGTTATTGCTTATCTACAGTCATATTGATAGATGGATTTCTAGCCTGGGTCCTTTACAAAGCACAAATGATTGGAGTAAATTATCTTTGTGGCAGTTTACAAAAGGTGAGCTATGTATTTATGTTGCAACATTCACAAAGTATTAGTATACAGGCAAAGCTTAAGTTAATGAAAATGCAGTTAATTCATGGGCTAAAGCCATTAATCAAAATCATATTTCCTAGTAACCAAAAGAGATTACCCACCCAGTAAAATAACTAACAGGATTATTTCTTCGACACTTGTTAATAATAACGTATTGTAATGTTGTAATATTGCCCATACGGCGCCTCACCTTAAAAGAGAGAGTTGGCCCCTTTTCATAGTCGATGCCGGATGTGTCTTCCACAATGATGGTCACCTGTGCTTCATTCAGGACTGTCTGGGGAACCACACGAAGCACTCGGCTCGGCCCAACTAGCCTCAGTTTAAATTTGGCATTTGCTCCCTAAAAATGTCAGCACAATACAGAAATCCATTACATAAACTCACTGGTTCTTTTAGAACGCTTTTCTACTCTACCTAAGCACTAAAAGCGCTTTATACAACATGTCTTATTCACCCATTCACACAAACACTTTTTTATGCTTAAGTGCTTTCTGACATACATTCATACACACTCACACGCCATTAGATGCAACTTGGGGTTAGCAGTTAGCCCAAGGATTTCGCATGCAGACTGGAGCAACCACCAACTTATTATTAACATTATAACATAACTTGTGCTACCTCCTGAGCTGTTGCCACCACATAAATAAGAGTATAAGAGTGTCATGTAATGCTACATGAGCTATTATAAACAGGTAGAGGAGACTAACCATGGTGGCATAGTGAGTGACATTTTTACTTTCAATACTTTTGCTGGATATTTGCAACTTTGGGGCGGCATTATTGCACAACACGTTTGTTTTCACATATTTAGTTAACTTTGTACGTAATTTCTTTAAATGGATCTGTCAACTGGCTAATATTCTTTAAATTTTAATATTATTGCACCACCTTTGATCACAGTTATTGATTAGTAATAGCACACTGCTGCATGTCCAAGGAATGAATCAGATATTTGCAATTTGGAATTCATGTACCTGATCAGAGTCGTTGACTGTGATCTTGAAGCCACGGAGGATCTCCCCTGCAGGTGGATGCTCATACATGGTGACTTCAAATTTGTTCTGTGGCCCATTTTCTCCATAAAAGGTTGGGGGATGGTTGTTGAGATCAACCACACGGACAGTCACTGTGGTAACATCATAGTCCTGGAGCTCATTGTTTGGGCCTATCTCAGATGCCTTCAGTTTAAAAAATACACAAGTAAATAAAATTATAGTCAATGAGAGTAAGAAGCACCGGTGAAAAAAGGTTTTCATGGGACTCTATGCAGTCCTGTTAAAAACTATTCCAGAAGCAGAAGAAGAAGCAGCAAGATGATTCTAATCAAATGCATTTATTTAACCGATCATCAGCGAGACCACCTCTGTACGATAACAAGTTTTGGAATTTTGCTGGTCTGGAGCATTCAGGTGTATGTTAACACAATGTAGCAACTTTCCTAGGAGTGGACATCCCAGAAAATACGCCCCAAGGCCGGGCAAAACCTGACAAACATGTTTTAGAAGGTTTGCCAGAGGAAAGTCTCTTCTGTCTAAAAAGAATATAGCAGAACAGCTTAGGTTCGCAAAGTTGTGTCTGAAGAAACTCCAAGACTTCTGGAACAATGTCCCTTGGCTAGACAAGATCAAAGTGAATGTTTGGCCTTAATCCACAGCACTACATCTGGTGAAAATCAAACACAGCATATCATCACAAACACCTCATACTGTGAAACACGGTGGTGGAGGGGTCATGATTTGGACTTGTTTTGCAGCCACAGGACTGGGACACCTTGCAATTATTGAGTCAACCATGAACTCCTTTCTATACTTTCTAGAGTCAAATGTGAGCCCAGCTGCCTGACAGACAAAGCTTGGCCAAACTTGGGTCATGGACCACGATGATGATTCTAAGCACAGCAATAAATCTACAACAGAATGGCTGAAAAGGTAAAGAATCAAGGTGCTGTAATGGCCCACTCAAAGGCCAGACCTAAAACTGATTAAGATACTTTGATTGGCACTTAAGAGAGCTGTGCATAAACAAATACCTGCAAACCTCAATGAACTGAAGCAATATTGTAAAGAGTGGACCAAACTTTATCCACAACCATGTGAGAGACTAATAAAGTCGTACAAAGAAAAAAATCTATCCGTTCAACTTATGGCTGCTGAAGGTGGTTTCAAAAGCTACTGCGGTGAAAAGTTTCTTTTAAAAATGAAGATAAGTAGAAAATAACTTGTTACCTTGACTTTGATTTCATACAGCTCATTTTTCAGCAAAGATGGAAAAGTTGTCAGGGTGATGCAACCACTTGTGCTATTTATGTCGAACACACCATCACTACCTGAAAGGTGTTGATAGAAGTTTTGTTTGAAATCTGATCATAATCTAAAAGAAGACACAGTAACACACTTTTGCCTTACAAACAAGCAACTAAATCTTGCACTTTTCTCTTTTTGCTATTGTTCTTACCATTAATAATGGAATAATGTATCGGGTTAGGATTGCCTTGGTCACCATCTTTAGCGTACACTGTGTATATTTCAGAGCCCTAGAAGTAAAAAAGTACATCAACACAATGGAGACAAAAGCAATAACTGAAATCAAATTTAATTCAGTGAATGCGACAAGAACTTACAGGAACAGAGACCTCATAGATGTATCCAAAATATGGTGTTCCTACAAAGTATGGAGGCATGTCTTGGGAATCAATAACATTAATTGTTACTGTGGCTGTGGAAGTCAACACCTGATGCTTCCCCTTGTACTTTCCACCTCCATCCTGTGACAACAACAAGGTAAAAGCAAAGTTACCACATGGCATAATTAGCTAACCCTTTATATTTAATCAAAGACATGGTTAAGTTTATTTTACATTCGGCCATGTTGGGATTATGGGATCTCTGCTACATGTTATCTGTCACAACAGCTTGAAGCCAGCTCACAAAAAACACTAAAAATTTAGTTTAACCAAAAATATACATTTTTTTAGTATTCTAACCTAAATGCTATGTTACTTGCACTTTAAAGAGATGTCTTGCTTGAAAAAGTTAAGAGTTTGTTTTTTCTTAACTTGCTAAAAATCACAAACTGCAGAAAGAACATGCATAAGATTTTAGATACATGTTCATGGTTTAGTATAATTTTAGAAGCAATTATTGTCTGATTTGCCACTTTAGTTCAGTGCATTGAGCTTGTGACCACGTGCCATACAACTGAGATCTGCTGGCCCGGGTTCGAGTTCAACCCAAGGTCCTTTGCTGCATGTCTTCCCCTCTTTCTCTGCCTCTGTTCTCCTGTCCTATCTTCACTGTGTCTATCGACTAAAGTTGAAAAAGGCCAAAAAAACCTAGGAAAAACTTGCACCTTAATAAAAATCAAAAGTTAGGCAATGAAATTCATTTTTAATTGGGAACACTATAATATAATATTTTTATACATCATAGCTTTACCTTTTTAATAACTGGATTATCTACTAAATGTTACACAGCCAGGTATTTAAGTAGCCAGAGCCGAGGCTACAAAAAATAAACTAGCTTTCACCACCAACTATTATTCACAGTGATAAATTATACTTATTTTTGGGAGCAGGACTTTCAGTGCGTCAGCAGACCAGCAACTTAAAATCTCACCACTTCCCAACAGATTTTTTTTTTAGCTCCCTGTTCCCCTTTTTCACTCTTTGCTTTTCTCTCACCCAAATCAGTGAAGGTAAAACAACTTTTACTCTGAATCTAGTTCTGCAGCAGGTTTCTTTTTTCATATTAAAAGGAAGTTTTCCTCTCAGTTACTGCAATGGGTTGCTCATAGAACATAATTATGTTATGTGTGTATTTAGTATAATGTTGTTTTTGTTTTTGTTGTTGTTGTTGTTTTACAATATGCAGGATTTGGTTCTATATGAACAAATTGTATCAGAAGGAATGTTATTGATAAACTCCAATAACTAATTTTTAGATTTTATGTAATTTTCTACTTAGAATTAAATAATTTTAAACTGCAATTTCATTTATCTTTTTTAAACCCCATGATTGATGCAATTGCATGTCAAAAATACATGACTTTAAAGTTGAAAATCCTTTACATTTGAGGACAGAAATACCTGCAAACTAAGCTACTTACTGTGTTTACATGTATTAAGACCATTTGATTAAGCAAATAAAGGCACAACCCAAATGTAAAAGTGTCACAGTGACCTCTCACCTTTGCAACTACTGTCACAAAATGTGTTGGTGTGGTCTCAAAGTCCAAAGTCTCACCAGGTTTAACTCTGAGGATCCCACTGTGTCCATCAATGGTGAACTTGGTGAATGGGGAGGTCTGGTAATATAACAGTCACAGTTAATAAAGATAGTAGGAGTGCTTTATTTCGACTTAAATTTAGCAATGAAAACCAATAAAGCTAATTCTGATATGGTACCGATCAATTTTAGCCTGGCTCATTTTAACCTTGGCATTTCAGGGTAGCTTTGTCTCACAATTGACACATGGAGACTAACAACCACTGTGCTGTCAGCTGTTGGCCCAGACCAAACCTAAGCCCCTATTAAGCTTTCAATGCCATGCTCAAATGTAATTGAAATTTAATCCACTAAAGTAACACGATTTCCAGACTGCTCTATGGTATGAGATTAATCTTTCCCTGCATCACTGTCCCATCACTCATATGCCCTTTTCCTCCCTCCATCACGCGCAATGCTCGTGATGTCAGGTCGACCTCTGGTTATCCCTGAGTGTTAGGGTCATACAACGCTAGTTAAAAGTGTTGCTATTTGCTTATTTTGCATTGCAGTCTTGGTAATAAAAAATGTAATTGATTTTTAAATGGATTGCAAAGCAGAAATTGAATCAAACCATAGAAGAGCTTAAAAAAAAAACCTAGAACAAACAGAAAAATTAAGATATGAAAAAAATGAAATGCTAAAATTATGAAAAAAACCCAACTTGTTAACAGTTTTAAATACATTTTGGGCTCTAAGAGGATAAAGGTGTTGGCAGACTTCAGGGAGTATTCCAGGATGTGAGAGTTAAGAGAGCTGAAGATGTAAAGAGGTGTAAAGCTATAAAGAGCCCTCTCTGTGATTAGTACTCTCTTACAATCAACTCAGTATTCATCTGGACGCCATGTGCAACGCGGCTAAAAAAAGCTTTAACTTTAGCCTAGGTTACACTGGGTCACTTTTCAGCGCACGTGCTGCCGTAGAAGCCTAGCTGCTATATTTTGGAGAGTGCTTTTTTCTGACTGATGGCTCAGTAAACATAGATGCAGTAGCCAGAATTAATCAAGTATGATATTTGGATCTTTGTGCATTATATAGTTTCTAATTTGTGATATGTGGCTGGCATTTTTCACCTGAGTTTAAACAAAACTTCTTAAAATTCACAACAGCTTCTTTAACGTGCCTGAATTTTACTGGTGACTTTGTGCATCTTTACTTCAATTCAACTTCAAAAATATTTGCAATTTGGGAGTTACTACTCAAGTTGTTTTGAAGTTGCCATGGTAACAAAAGCACATTACAGTGAGGCTGTGAAGTTACCTGTAGATAATAGGAAACACTTCCTCCTGAGCCCATATCTTTATCCACTGCTTGGACTCTGTAGATGCTACTTCCTGGAGCAGTGTCCTGGGAAAGGAGCAAAAAGTTCAATAATTTTCAAACATTATTGAATTTTGATTATTTAATTAGTTTAACACTTTTATTACATTCAGGAAAAAACACTCTAGAATGCATGCATGTAACTGTATAGTTATTTTATATAATATACCTCTGGAATATCAATAATAAAAGGCAAATTTAGAAATTCAGGTGGCTCGTCATTGGTATCCGTGACAAAGACTCTCACTGTCTCAACAACCTGAAACACATGTGAAAAGCAATTACAAATTTCCAAAACAGCTGCTTTTGCTACAGCTTATAAAAAAATGACATTGTTTGCAGAGAAATAATCTAAATAGTGATCAGAGAAAATGTCATGATGCACAGTTAAATAGATTTTACAGGCTGTCATGGCACTTTTTTGAAGTACTATTTAATCCTAATATTTATGATAGAGTTTCCAGTTAAATTGCAGTATTAAAATGTGACTGTAAACTGAATTGCACTGTAGCTTATAGAGCTTACTTTATTACGGCCATCCGTTATGCTCACGTGCACTGAGATTTCATCTTGTTTCTATGAAAAATAAAGATGTCACATCACTTTGAGCCAAAGTGGGTTTTTTTTTTGTGTGTTTCCAAACCAGGAGTCTTTATTAAAATGCTCACCTCTCTGTCGAGCTCCTGAATTAGAGTCACATTTCCTGACTTTGGGTCCACTCTAAAATATTCTGTAGAGCCCTTTTCAAAAGCAAGACCATATCGTACTGGATCTTCCTCCGGATCTGTGCCATTCAAGACATATATCTGTGTTCCTATGAGAAAAGAACACATACAGGGACAAAACCTTTGAAATGGGGCAGAAACGTGACATGTCTATATGCAGCACTAGTGTAAAAGGCACGTTTGACAGGTTAGGTCAGATGAGCCTCTACCCATAATGTTTTCTTCCCGTAAGACTGTGATGTACGTCACAATCCAAAAGATCTTATAGCGATTAGCTGGAGCCTTAGCACCATGTGAGATCATTTCATACACTTAGGCACTTAAAACACACATCTCAAACTACACTAAATGTAAAAACATGCTCAAATTATACCAAACTTAAAAATATTAAATTATAACAATAATAATTTTTAAAAAAAATGTAATTTTACGGGAGCCTTACCAACGGGTGTATCCTCAGAGATGCTGAACAAGGCCATATTTCCATTTGTACTGCTGGGACCATTATCGTAAAAATATGGAGCATAGTCTGATTGCCCTTTGTGATAAAAAAAAAATAAGAAAGAAAAAGACGATTCACATTATTTGAGCAGAAGAGAGATATAAAAGAAAAACAATGACCTAATCTAAAAGGAAGCTGCTCCACACACTGTACAAACCCCACAAATGTCTCTCACCACATCAAATAATTTTTCTCCTTAATTATTATTTTACAGTGAGAAGAGTTGCACTCACTTGCTAACAAGGGCAGGAATTGAAAGCAGGGAGGAGAAAAGAGTTAAATTAGAAATAATAAGGCTGTAGTATTAAGACCCAGACAAAAACGGCATTGCATGTTGAAATTTATGAAGTACAAGCAACATGAAAGTCCACACTAAGACAGACATGCCCTCTCTGTGTTAGAGGATTAACCAGATAAGTGCGAGGCAAGAAGTCTTAACCACACACAACAAAGACAGTAAAAGAAAAGCAGAGCCTTACCCGAGGTGAAGTGAAGCATAAGGAGAAACAGTAAAGCATGCGTTTTCTTTTCTTTCTTCATCCTGGTGGGGAGGTAAGGCTTGGCTGGCTCATGTGGAAGGCTTGGTGGAGGGAAAGCGAGCAGTGAGTGTCGTGCCCTTCTTGAAGCGTCTCAGTAGGCTCAGAAGTAGGAAGAGGCTGGGACAGCGTCTCAGGCACTAATCCAGTGACGCATCCCTTCTCTCTGCACACATCTTCTACCACATTGCTCTCACTCCAAATTCTCCTGGATCATTGAGAGACGAGAGTTCAAGTTTCACACAATATGGTGTGATCATCGCACCTCGCCACACATATGACAGGCGCACACATGAGGCACAGAATCCATGTTTAGTCTGGAAACATTGATAGGAAATGTTTGCAGCTCAGATTTTTGTTTGGTTGTTATTATCAGCGGTTTGTTTTGTCATGTTTTTTTGTGCTGAGACGGGCCACCTGGCAGGTCACTAGGTTTCCTGGGGAAAGTAGACTGCAAGATCTAAAGAAAGCTTATTGGCTGTAAGTGCATGAGTGCAGCTAAGGCTAGTGTTGGTAAATGAGCAGGCAAGGTTGGCAACAGCGGGCAGTTAAGGCCACCTTGGCTATATGTGACTAATGGGCTTGTTAAAACCCTATAAATAAAAAGGAGAGAAGCCAATCACACCATGTGGGCGAACAAAAAACAAAAACAAGAACAAATAAAAAATAAAATAAATAATACAAAATTTAAACTGTAATATGTCCTTCCGGTATGAATTACCAGCAGACAAATCAGGCGAAAGACAAAGCATAATGCTCGATTAAGAAGAGCTGATTTTATGAAAGAAAAAAAAATTGACACTCTGAAGAGCAGAGTGGAAAAATCAAGTATGACGTTTTGAGCTTGCAACCTTGACAACAGTTAAAGAGAGAGTTTTGCACCATTTCATGTCATGTGACTGCACGTTTGCCTGTCATTTGAGCTACCGTGTTAACTGTATTCCAAGGTGTAGAGTGTGCACTTCCTGTATTCACAGGTATAAAAATAGTCCCTGGCTGAACATTTTCATTTAAGGCAGAAAAATGTTAGAGCACAAGCATAGAAACTCAGCATTATTAATTAGATCTCCTACATTCACAATAATAGATGTACAGTAGCATTATATAATTTTTTTAATTATATTTTTCTATTTTAACATTTTGATTAAAGAGCTTGAGGTGGATTAACCAGTAGAAAAACATAAAAAAATTATTCTGATAAGTACCACTGTCAAATACCAAAATAATATAATATGAAAGAAAAGATCAATATGCATATGCCCTATACTGCATTATATTACTGGATCATTATTATTTATAATGAATTAGTTTGTCATTCTAATGTAGCTGAATATGATTTTATTTACTCATTTTGTGCATAGCTTATAATAATACTAATAATACAGCATAGAGGCCTTTTATTAAATAAATGGTAGAATAATTAGTAAATAAAGCTTTAAAATAAATTCGATGGAGTTAAAAATGTGAATCAAACATTCAAACAACTAACATTAAATAAAAGCACTTAAAAATGTCAGTAACTTCGGTAACTTCTGTTAAAGCTGTAACTTCTGTTAAGTAAGTTATCTATCTTATCCGGTGGTGCTGAGTATTGAACAATTCACAGTAGTCTTGTCCAGTGGCTTTTGCAGAGGAGATAACTGGGGAGGGGCTATACCACCCCATGCCACACCCCTGGACATAGCCCCTGCTTAGAGAGCAATAGACCTAACAGATGCCATCCTTAGAGTCATGCTGCTTGCTTGAACAATCATGTTTTTTAAAAACAAAACACTGACAACAGAATAAAAATAGCACTGATGACGCATCAGTTTCTACCGTGTCACGGGTTGAAGTGACAAAACGTCCAGCACAGATTACTGTCATCTGAACTTTTAATCACAAACTGCTTCATGCCTATTTTATGCAGCAACAGCCTTGGAACTCTACCAAATATTGGTCATCAATCTGAAAATGACTGGCAGTCACATATCCCCAGTAATGGCAGGTTTCTGCAAACTGGAGCTTTGTGCAGGCTCATCCATTATTGCCCTCTTTATCCCTCCCATCTGTGGGATTTTTCAATACACAGTATATATGAATCATACGTGTCCTAAACGTGAACATTATGTGAGATTTAAAACCATGCCTGACAGCTGCGTGCGCCACGTGCATGTGCTTTAATGAAACACCTGCATATTTACAGATGTTAGCATCTGTTGCAAGTGCCCTGGTTTGAAGGTTTAATTTTAGATGAACAGCCAGATGGTACACAAGAGGATTACTACACTAAGCCTTTGTCATCTGCTGCAACACGCTGACTGTTTATAGGGAAATACAAGGTGGACTCCCGCTGGTCTCAGTCTGGTCTGAAGTGGGGAGAGCTAAATAAACATAAAAATATTTAAGTTTGAGGTTATTTAGTTGCAATTTTTTTAGACCACAGTTTACACCAATTAAATTTACAAGGTGCCCTAAGCTTGTTTTACAGGTCACTGAACTTTATCGCTCTGACTTACTGCACCGTCAACACGGCACGTAAGCACAGGTGTTACTAAGAATAGCAGCATTTCATTGTGTACGAGTGCACCTGTGGGCTGTAACAGTAACAGAAACTTCTAGAAAGAATTCAACCACGGTTCTACTATTTATCCCAGTGTTTCTGTAAAATGTAAAACTGAATATGATTTTCATTGCACTGGATCCCAAAATTTGCTTTGCTATCTAATAACTTTAGTCAAGTGACAGAACATGTATTTTGGAACCTTAAATAGAAACTATAATCCTACTTAAGAAGAGCAAGTTTTAGAATGGTCTAATCTTAAGGGCTGCAAAATTTGAAACAGTCACACAGCAAAAGATCTATCTGTGCATGTTCATGACTCTCTCCCCCCATATTTTTCATAGCCGCATGAATTTGCATGCTGTCCAAAGGAGGGACATGTCACTGTGACAACCAAGAAACCACAGCTGTAGAAAAACTGTTGTATTTTAACCCAATCTGATCTTTTTCTAAACCTAAATGAGTAGCTTTTAATTCCAAAACTCCACAAAGCCATTTCCCAACACTAACCAAGTTCTTTGTTAATGTTTAAACTGAACCAAGTTGTTTTCAGTGCCCCAACTAACATATTTGGAATAAATAAATATAAAATACAATGAATGTTTGAAATATGGAACATGCCATGAAATTCATGTTCTGAATGAGCAATCAACAGATTAGAGGTCATGACAATTTTACAAACTGCCATGACAGTGTGTACAGCAACGGAAGTAGAAGCACTCCTGTAGAATGTCCTTTTTCAGTATCATACCCTGAAATATAAACCACATATCCATTAATCGATCATAATTAACTCATAATTACTTGATCAAAACAGTTTATTAATATGCATTATTATAATGCATATACAGCACAAGTATAGTTATTTGACTGTGGGCAGTATTTCATGTCACTTAACTAAGTTATCATTCCCAATACGTTATCCAGTGCAGACAAAATTCCAAAAAATCTCCATCAGCAACATGTGCCAAAAACATCACATGGACATATTTACTTTGTTTAAATTACTTTTATTCCCCCCCCCCAAAAAAACACAAAACACATTACGAACCTCTTTAACCCATTACATAAGCGCTATACCAGAGAATTTCTTCAGCAATTACATCCAGCACAGTCTGTTTATTGTACTGTGAATGTGGACCAATCTATGGTTGACATATGTGGCCTTTTGGTTGTTTTGTGACATTTTTCTGTATTTTCACTCCAAATAAAACCTGAAACACCACCAAGTGGAAATAAATAGAAACCAGAGAATAATACAAATGACTTCTGAGGGATGCAAAATTAAACTGACAGATTTAACTCATCTGTTAAAGCGCCCCAGGATAAACCAGATACTTTCAAAAATCAAAGTAAGATCTCTGTGTTATCTTCTTTACTTTGACAGGTATCTTGTACCACACAGTGCAATCCACATCTTTACATGCTTTCAAAGCATTCATGTTGATCTAGCAGTTAGATAGGATTTGTCTCTATAAGATAACATCTGGTTTATGCTGCTAGCAGTAAACATGCTGTCTCAGGCTCCGTGGAAGATAAAAGTGAAGCTCGAGTCATGATGGTGTTTACTTCCTCCTGCCGCTACCGCCGTTAGCTAGAATCATCACCAGCCTGATGAAAATATTCAGTGTGTCCATGTAAATCCCCATACACCTGTAAGATTAAATAAATGTATCAGATCCACATATCGGTACAAGTAGATTACCAACAATAATCTTCAAAACCAGTTATTTTTAGTGTACTTTGATTCCTGAAGTGACTTACGCATTGATAGGGTCATATTTCTGTACGCCATAGAGTGGGTGTGTCTCTGCCTTCTTGATAACCTTCTGTGTATCATAGAGGAGGAACATACTGAACAGGACCAGGCCTCCATAGATAGCAATGGAGTAGAGCCCTGCTCCAAATGCTGAGGTGGGTGGCAGGAACATTGATCCTGAAGAAGACAAAAGAAAGTTCAAATTGAGTCTGACAAGTACAATTTCTGTGCAGCTGTCAACTAAAAGTTACAATATAGAAAACTAATAAGTAGGTAATGATACAGCTCTAATACTGCACAACACACATATGCGAGTATGAATCTGATGTTTGGCTGTAGCTTCTGTAAAAACATTTGAAACTTGTAGCTGGCTGTCACAGACGTTAACTTGGGAGATTCAATTGTTAACCACCTTGCAGTTATTTATACATTTATATTAATTCATAAATATGTCTCAACTGCAAAGTGAACTGAATTTTGAAATAACTTCTGTTTTGCTTTTCTGGACAGAGACGCACACTATCCACCCCATTTTCTATTTACTTCTTATACCCAAACTACACCGTAGGTGTACACCTTCTCTTACAAAGTATCCAATAAGAAGATACGGAGAAGACTGAGAAAGCCCTTTTACAGGTACATTTCCCAATATACATTTCACTTCACCGACTCCACTACGGTTTAATTTGAACATATGCGTTACCCCTGACAACACACAAACACTGTGCTATGTATTACTTTTTAGCATTTAATTACTGTATAGTATTAAAATGCATTTCTACACAAAAATGATATCTACTGTAATCTCATGGGAATCAAAAATCATTTGGATGAAGAA